AAAAAAAACCCAAGTTAAAGGAGATCCAGTACTTCCCCCCCCGCCTCAAATGAAGGCAGTGGCCAAAAGGAGAGCTGTGAATGGAAGCAAGTCTGTGCTAGGGGTGGCAAGCGAATCACCCCATGCCCACCTGCCCTAACCAGGTGCCTTTGTACAACACTGTGAGGCTGTCAAGGAGGTAGGATGATATGAAAGACGGCCTGATCACACCAGAAGAGTTGCCAGGCTGGCAAGGCCTACCCCTCATTTAACAACCACCTCCATGAGGAAGAAGGGGCGGGTTGTAGTTGGGGGTGGCTCCCTTCTGAGGGAAACTGAGGGTCCAATATGCTGGGCAGACCCTCTTCTTAGAGAAGTCTGCTGCCTCCCTGGGGTCCGGGTCATGGACATCACTAGGAAACTTCTTTGCCTGGTTTGGCCCTCAGTGTGTTACTCCCTGTTTGCTCTTCCATGTGGGTAGCGATGAGGTGGCAACACATAGCCCAGAGGTAATCAAAAGTGACTTCAGGGTCTTGGAAAGGTCAATAAGGGAATCTGGGGTGCAGGCGGCCTTTTATTCTCCCAGTTCTAGGTAGTGACTTCAAGAAGCAGGCATTCTCAGTCTGTCAATACATGGCTTCATGACTGGTGTCACTGCCACAATTTTGGGTTTCTGACAGGCTTGCTGGAGTTGGATGGGGTTCAACCTCCTGAAAGGGGGAAGAAGGTGTTTGCTCATGACCTCAGAAACAAAAGAATATATTTAAATTTCTCAATTTCCCCGTTCACTCAAGGTACTGCGATTGTGGATGTGAGAAACACTGACTCACATCTTAGAACATAAAGAGGACAAAGTCACCAAAGCAAAGGTTAAAAAAAATAATTTATTAATACGAAACAGCGCTGAATCGGGTGCACCAAAAATAGATGCACGATGATCTTTTAGCTTTCAGGTATTTTATACCTTTATCCCGGCCGCTTGAGTTTCTGTCTCCCTTCTCATTGGCTGAGAAGTTGGAGCTCACATTCTTCCCGACCGCTTGACCTATTACAGGTTTATTTTGCACTTTTTCCCATATAAGGCACACATACACCTATTCTACGAAATCATTATCCTAAACACGCTTTTGATTAGTTGATTATGCTACACGTTATTTCACAGTCTTTGTTACCATCTACTTGGCAGATTTACCAGACTGGTTTCTTTGGCCTTATTGATACTCCCCTACCCTTTGGGTTTTTGTGTTGAAGGCCATGTTCCAGTTTGTTTCTCTTCACCTAGATAACGCTCTGCGAACAAGGATCCCTTGAGAAACCAAGGGCATTTTTGGGGATTAATTGGATACAATTTATTAGACTTTACTATTCCTAAGGCTTCTTTGTTAGTACTATCACACTAACAATGATACATCAATTAGCTGAAGCAAAACTTAGCTTATTTCCCACATGGAGATCTCCACAACACAGGTGTTAATAGAATAGAATAGAATAGAATAGAATAGAATAGAATAGAATAGAATAGAATATTTCAATTGGAAAGGACCAATAATAATCATCCAGTCCAACTGCCTGACCAGTTCACAGCTGACCACGTTAAAGCATGTTCTTAAGAGCAGCTTTAAACCATTCCCATGCATCCTATCACTATGCCAGGGACATCAGCACTTCCATCTCCACTTCCCCCTTCTCAGGAATACCTGTTTGGAAACGTTATTGAAAAACACGGGTGTCATGAGAGTCTGATTACTGTAGGCAATAACACTTATTCATACTAGATGAATCTAGTCCTAGAAAATTTGACAGCTACCCAGTGTGGCCTGGTAGATGTGCAGAGAAATCAACTTTCCTTCATATGTCACTATTATAAAATAATCACAAGAAAATTTAGCTACCTATAACAAGTTTATCTTTTATGAAATTTACTTTCTTGGGGAGAGCGAAAATGATTTCGGAACACGCCTAAACAATCCATTAGTATGTCCGTATTAGGTGTATCAACATTTCGACATTAAATATTGAAAACAATCAAAACATAATTTGGAAGCAAATTATTAAGCACTCAAACTTTCAAAACATCTCTGTATGTAACAATGCAGTAGATCTGCACAGGAAATGGAGCAAACTCTTATTAAACATTACTCAATTTTCATTATAGGTGATACCAAAAAGAGAACAAATATAGTTATCAAAGCTAATTTTCCTTTCATTATGTCATTAAAAACTCAAAGTGATTTCATAGGTTTTAGTAAATTCACAGTCGTTTTACACTGACACTAGTGCAGAATATATGCAGATAATCACAAAACCCCTTTTTATTTGTAAAATAAACTTCATTTCTAAACAATATGGGGGGGGGGGAAAAGAGTGTGTTAAGAATCAGCACTTCCACAGTGAAGAGATATTCCAGCATGCAAAAATTCCATCTTGTCTAAATCTTAACTGCGAACAGATTCATCCTTAGTTTCATGTCTGGGAAACAAGGAAATTTGATTCAGGTTCACATCTGCAACACAGACATATATGCAAAGTAAAACAGAGATTCATCTGCATAGAAATAGAAATTTTGAATGTGTAATGAATAATGTAGCTGAAAAAGTCCATCCATATTCAGCAAAAGTGTATTTTGATTACAGCTTTTGGAGACAAAGGCACTCTTGGCAATGAAATCACCCAAGAGTAAAAATGAATAAATATGATTTGCAGTACTTCACTGCAAATCACAATTGTTGTGATACTCAAAAAAGTTGCATAGATGATGGGGTTTTCTGTAAGCATTCCCAACACACTAATGAAAGCGGGAACGTCATAGTACGCAAGATAACTTAGTATTTTCTCCAGACAAAAACAGCAGTCACATAAAATAATTAATAGGAAAACTCTCTTCAGAAGTTATTTTTCAAATCTGAAGGGTTTGAGCAGTTCAGCTCTTTTTCTAATATTTTGGGTGGCTAACTTTGAAGGCTTAGCTTGCTAATTGCTGCTGGCTTATTAAGATAACCACATTTATAAAGATTGCTCACACTGGTATAGTAGTTCAGGGAGATTGGTTTTTTTTAATCCTTACATGCAGAGAATTCCACAAGACTTTTAAAATGCCAATAAAACTGCATCGACATGGCAAATCTAGTGGAAGCCTATGTCTTGATAGCTTTCCTTTAATATTTTCTCCATTTACATGCTACCCTGTGATTCCCAGTTTCATTCCAAAGTTGAAATTCATCAGAGTTCTTCTCGAAGATTATCAAACAGATCACACATGCGGTAGGGAATTGTTCTCCCTCTGAACAGGACTAAACTCGGATCTCAAACCTGAGTAGATGGCATAATGCCATGGCCTCAAACCTGGCCTCTGCTCCAAGCACAAATCATGATTCCCCTGAGGTGTCCCTTCTTTTTTTTTTCATCCAAGCATACCTGCATGAAAAACATAGAAGAATGGTTTGATTCTAAGAATGGCAGTTGGTACAGAAATGGTAAGAGATCATTTTAGATGTCCCTGAATAAACTGGGAATATGTCCCTTATATATTGTTTATAAATTTATCTTTCAACAAAGCATACATCCTAATCACTGCTACAATTCTCCATTACTCAGCTGCTACTTGTTCTATCCTACGCAAGCAAGCTGTAATAAATAGTCAATGGCACTGCATTTGCAGAAAAGTTGTGTTACAGTAATAGAATTAGCTTTACTTTCTTTTACATTTGTTAAGGTGTACTGGCTTCAGTACTGGAGAAGATAGAGATGTGAAGTTCATGACTGGAGTGACACTCGGTGCTAGCAGAAGTGAACGAGGTTGGCATAAACACAGAATTTTGCTTACAGAGGAACATCTTTCACGACCAACCTCTAATGCCATAATCCTACAAAAACATGGGTAATGCTGGCTCATAAAAACAGTCTAAATGTCTCTGATGTTGTAAATATGATTATATGTGCCCTTTTACTTTTTTTAGTATCTTACTGTGGCATTAGCAGCATATTAGCAGTCTCTGATCAACCTTACTGACTTTGCCATGCATTCTTATCTGTAAAACAAGATCTCTTCCTTCATCAAGTGGAAATTCTTTCAGCTCTAGTGCCAGGTGCTTGATGTGGTATTACTCCTCTCTGCTGACAGAAGTATGTGTTGCTTTCCTACAAACCAAAAAAAAAAAAAAAAAAAAGAATTGGAAAAATTCCAGGCTGGTTTCATGTTTGTTTTTAAATTTATAGTTTACAAGAGTATACACGTTTCCCTCCCAGCTGTAAAGAACAAGCTTTCCCTGAGGGATGAGCTAACCCCATGATACCTGTAATTGTAGGCTGTGCCTATCCATCACAAATGAACCCCACAGAGTTTAAACTCTAAACCTGCATTTTTTCCCTCACTTTTCCCTGCTACCCATTGCAGAATGGGCTTCCCTTCACCAGGGTGTTAAGGATAGGACAGCTCATTTAAAGTCAAGGCAGAGAAGTAACGAGGTTGCAGAGTGGTGCATTGCCAGAGATCAGAAATCGCTGTACATGCTGATACAGGAAGCCAGTAGACATCTCAAGACAGCACTGTGAGGAATGAATGGTTGGTGTCGTGGTTTTGGCCAGATTGACCAATCAGACCGACAAATGGCCCCTCCCTCCCCCCTCTAAGGACAAGAGAGGAGGAGATTAAGAGATTTATGAGTTTAGAAAAGACTAAACTACTTTAATGAAAATATTAATTAGTAAGGAAATAATAAATAAGAAAATTTAGAAAAAGGGGAAAAAAAAAGTATACAGTATATACAAAACCATATCAAGCTCCCAGGATGATGTTCACATCACCAGCAGGCACAGGGAAGTCTCCCAGACTGGACTCAGTGATGGACAGGAGCTGGATTCCAGCTATGGAGTCAGGAATGCTCGGATCAGGATCAAAGGCAGACGAATAGATAGGGTCCACCTTGGACATCGGCCACTGAAGAAAAGGAGTAGACCCTTTGATCCCTCAGCTTTTATACTGAGCATGATGCATATGGGATGGAATACCCTGTTCGGTCAGTTTTGGGTCCCCTGTCCTGTCTGCTCCTCCCTGATATGACTGATATGAGTCATGGGCCGCAAGCAGAAGACACAGGGAAGGAGAAAGAGTGGAAAGTGGTGCTTCTGTACCCCAGAGGTGGAGGGATGCAGGAGCGCAGCAGGAGAAGAAACCCAGTGTGATATCACCATGTGGTGGTCAAATGACCAAGTGGTGGATGGTGAAGTCACCAGGCAATGGATTGTGACCTCATGTCCCTGGATGCTTATCCTGGGGTGCCGGCAGAGCCTGAGCCAGTCTGGCTCATGCCTGGACTCCTGCTGAGCGTGACCGCGAGGTGTGGAGGTCCGAGCCAGGCTTCTCCAGGTGCTGGGTAGTGCTTTGGGGGCTGCCATCGGCAGCTCTCCGTGCCCGTCCCAGAGCCACCCCCTGTGTTTCTCCAGCCCTGCCTGACAGCAGCGGAGGTGAGCTGTGGGGGAAATGTCCCCCAAGGCGGCCATGGGGCGGGTGGTGGGGCAGCAGCGGGGCAGTAGGGTTGCGAGTGGGGGCCTGCGAGTGACCGTGGCCTCTCTCCGCCTTGCAGTGTTCAACACCCTCTGGCACCGCCTCCACCAGGGAGGGGGAGCAGCTCCTCATCCTCGGCTCTCCCCAACGCTCCGAGAAGCACCACCATGGCCACGGAGTCAGAGGGGTGCTGTCCCGTCTGCCAGGATGTTCGGAAGGGCATCGCCTCAGTGGAGCCGTGCCAACACCAGTTCTGCCTGGGCTGCATCCTGCGGTGGGCCAAAAGGACATCCAGCTGCCCCCTCTGCAGAACAGTGATGGAGAAAATCAAGTTCTCCGTGCGGGGAGAAAATGACTACCTGGAGCAGGTCATCACGCCCCCCGCCCAGCCAGCAGGTGCCAGCAGCCAGGCAGGCACAGCTCCCGGCGGCCTGGAAGAGCAGGAGGCTGCGGGGACAGAGGCCCAGGCCTGCGTGGGTGGCCTCCAGCCCCAGGTCTGGGCAGAGCTCTTCCAAGAACACCGGCACCTCCTGGACCCCGTGCTGCCCTGGCTGCGCCGGCAGCTGGAGGCCATCTACGAGGAGCAGTGGTGGCTGGCAATGGCGGCCGAGAAGCTGCTGGTGCAGGCCCTCTGCTTCTACGGCCCGGACGAGGAGGCCGTGGTGCGGCGGATGCAGCCGGGCCTGGAGGAGCACACGGCCCCGCTGGTCCGCGACCTCATCAACGTCGTGGTGCGCCGCTGCGGGAGGGAGGCCCGGAGGCTGCTGGAAAACCCCATTTCCCCCACACGGTCTCTGGGTGCCTCTTTCTGCCCCTTCTCCTCCCGCCTGTTAAGGAATAAAGTATTTATGAGATTTACTTGACTGAAAAGTGAGTGACAGTGTGGTCTCATTGACACAGTAAGACTAGATGTAAGTGTCTGCTGCTTTCTTTTTCTTCTCACTTTTCTGCTGAATCACTGGACAAAATTTGTGGGTCTTTGAGATGTACCATCCAACTATTCCCATTAAAGATAATGATACTTGGGGTGCTGGGCACATTTGAAAACTATGATTTTCTGTTCAGCTTGTATGTAAATGAAGTCACAGTGTTGCTTTATGTGGGTGATGGTAGGCAGGTTACGCTTGCAGCAGGTTTTAAAGCTGGTAAGAATTACATTGCTTGTGTCTGTCTCCTGTATACAGTTATCCCATCATCCTTCTTTCCTCCTTTCATAAATGGTGGGGGTTTTTATTCAGTTATTCATATGGTGTTTCACCTTTTGTTATTTTGGAGGGATTCTGCTATATTTCTAGAGAGCTTCCTTCCTCTCCAGATACCTAATCCAGTAACCGCTTTTGGCTTGGACATGTCCTCTTGCTTTTCATCTTATCTCAGCAGAGCAGCCATGGGATAAACTGAATTATGTTGGTTTGATGCTCTTGTCAGTCTCTGTGAGTTCCGCCTAAAACCATGTGAACTCCTTGCAAGCACAGAAAACCTGTTTATATCCCATAAGTAGGTGTAACAGGTATTATCTCCCTTTTCAATCTGATTAAAACCAAGGTATTGATGACTGGTCTTAAAGAAAGACCTTGTGAACCGACTCTACAACCGAAGTGTGAAGTTCACTTTGTACTATTAGTATTCTCAGTATTTTTAAGGCTTTTTAAAATTGTAAATTTATTATATAAATAGTCTTACAGAAATTCCAAAGCATACAGGCTCATGTTTTAAACTATTGGATTTAAAACTCTACAGAAATTTCCCATACCTTGTTCTTTGTGCTGTCTTGATGCTCAATTCACATTGAATAGTATTCACTTCCTAAGAAGTACTTTTGGAATAATCTAACAGTACACTAACAAGGGCTGGAGAAATAATTGTTAGAACTAGTTATAAGTTTTATATAACTATAAGAAATAGTTATAAGTTTTCAGATCCCAAACCCATAGTCTTTACTCTTCCAGAATATTGATTCAGTGATATTTTCCATATTTCTGCATACCTAAATGGTACTGAGCAGCTAAGACTCTGGGATTAGTTTCCTATGCTGTCCTCAAACTCATAGGGTTTGATATGGGATAGAAGAAGAAAGCGATGTTGAAGGAAGTTGAAGATAAAAGAGATCATAGTGTATAGAACTAAGAGGATGCATACAGATTAACCCAAAAATGTAGCAAGCACTATGTCTTCTAAGTCCCAGTCCTAAACTTCATCTAGAAAATTAATCTTCCTACTTTCAGTGAAGCTAGTGGAGCCAGCTTTTATAGAGACAGAGAAATTCATAGAATCATAGAATGGTTCAGGTTGGAAGAGACCTTAAAGATCATCCCCCCCCCCCTGCCACGGGCAGGGGCACCTCCCAAAGCCCCATCCAACCTGGTCTTGAACACTTTCCAGGGAAGGGGCATCCATAGCTGCTCTGGGCAACCTGTTCCAGTGCCTCACCACCCTCACAGGAAAGAATTTCTTTCTAGTATCTAATCTAAATCTCCCCTCTTTCAGTTTGAAACTGTTACCCCTCATCCTATCGCTCCACTCCCTGGTAAATAGTCCTTCCCCAGCTTTCTTGTAGATGTGGGGATTGAGTGCACCCTCAGTAAATTCACAGATGACACCAAAGTAGGTGGGAGTGTTAATCTGCTTGAGGGTAGGAAGCGTCTACTGCGGGACCTGGACAGATTGAATCAATGGACCAGGGCCAATGGGATGAGGTTCAACAAGGCCAACTGTCAGGTCCTGCATTTTGGTCACAACAATCCCAGGCAACGCTACAAGCTTGGGGAAGAGTGGCTGGGAAATTGCCTGGCAGAAAAGGACCTGGGAGTGTTAGTGGACAGCCGGTTTAACATGGGGCAGCAGTTTGCCCAGGTGGCCAAGAAGGCCAACAGCATCCTGGCCTGTATCAGGAATAGTGTGGCCAGCAGGAGTATGTCAGTCATTGTTTCTTTGTACTGGGCACTGGTGAAGCCTCACCTTGAGTGCTGTGTTCAGTTCTGGGCCCCTCACTACAGGAAGGACATTGAGCTGCTGGAGCATGTCCGGAGGAGAGCCACCAAGCTGGTGAGGGGTCTAGAGACCAAGTCTTACGAGGAGAGGCTGAGGGAGCTGGGCATGTTTAGCCTGGAGAGCCCAGCTCCCAACTGAGGCTGAGGGGAGACCTCATTGCCCTCTACAACTACCTGAAAGGAGGTTCTAGAGAGGTGGGTGTTGGCCTCTTCTCCCAAGGGAATAATGACAGGACCAGAGGAAATGGTCTGAAGTTGCAGCAGGGGAGGTTTAGATTAGATATGAGGAAGAATTACTTTACTGAGAGGGTGGTCAGGCACTGGAACAGCCTGCCCAGGGAGGTGGTGGAGTCACCATGCCTGAAGGTGTTTTAGAAACGTGTAGATGTGGCACTTCAGGGCATGCTCTAGTGCCTGAGATTGTTGGGTGTGGTGATTGTTGTGGTGATCGGGTGCTGGGGTTTTTTTTGTTTTATTTTGGTGTTGTGTGGGATTTTTTGTTTTGCTTTGTTCTTTTTTTTTTTTTTTTAATGGTTGGACTCGATGATGTCAAAGGTCCCTTCCAACTGTGAAGATTCTGTGATTCTGTGATGCCCTTCAGGTACTGGAAGACCGCTACAAGGTCTCCCTGGAGCCTTCTCTTCTCCAGGCTGAACAACTCTCTCAGCTTCTTTTCATAGCAGAGGTGCTCCATCCCTCTGATCATTTTCGTGCCCCTCTGCTGGACCCATTCCAACAGGTCCATGCCCTTCCTGTGCTGAGGACTCCAGAACTGGACGCAGGACTCCACATGGGGTCTCAGCTCCCTAGCCCTGCTGGCCCCACTTCTTTTGATGCAGCCCAGGATACAGTTGGCTTTCTGGGCTGCCAGTGCACATTGTTGGCTCATGTTGAGCTTCTTATCCATGAGCACTTCCAAGTCCTTCTCCTCAGGGCTGCTCTCAATCCATTCTCTGCCCAGCCTGTAACTGTGCTTGGGATTGCTGCAACCCATGTGTGGGACCTTGCACTTGGCCTGGTTGAAGTTCTTGAGGCTGGCATGGACGCACCTCTCAAGCCTGTCTAGGTCCTTCTGGATAGCATCCCTTCCCTCCAGTGTGTCAATCACACCACAGAGTTTGGTGTCATCGGCCAACTTGCTGAGGGTACACTCAATCCCACAGTCCATGTCATCAGCAAAGATTTTGAACAGTGCCTGTCCCAATACAGAACTCTGAGGAACGCCACTCATCACTGGTTTCCACTTGGACATTGAGCCCATTGACCGCATTGACTGCAACTCCTTGAATGCAACCATCCAGCCAGTTCCTTACCCACCAACAGAAACAGGAATGCGAGAAAACATTAGGGAAGGGTTTTTTTCTCTCTTTTCTTCTTCTTTTTTTTTTTTTTTTTTTAACAGGGGTTTGGTCAAAATAGGAATTTTTGGTAAAGAATTTAAAAGATATTAAAGATACAGTGCCTTTTGGATTATTATTGTGTGGAAATTGAGCTGCTTTTACATCCAGAGCTGTTTAAGAGTTTGTTTTTACCTGGTAACATGCCTTTAACCATTTGCGTAAGACTTTAAATTAGGTGTCTGACTAAGACCCAATGGACGGAGTGCCAGGACATTAAGTGTTCTGTAGTTGTTCTCACAGCTACTTACTTTGGATTGTAACATGCTGTTATTTTTTCATATAATTCCCCGCTTGCAGGCAGATACTAGCACAGTTGAATTCTTCCAGCAAGAATCACTGAGCAAAGATTTCTAAAAGCAAAACCAAATATTTATTCATTACTTTCTATAAAACTGCATTTGTGCACATTTTTTTTTCCTTTTGCAAAACAGTTTCCTTAGTCTGCTAACTCTACCAAATAACAATGTTCCCTTTGAAATTCACTTCATATCTTTCTCTCAAAGATTTAATTAGATAAAACGGGCTGCACCAATCCCAGGTTATGATGATATTTTGTAGGGAGCTATTGTGTAAGTTTTCCTTTGGCAACTTCATGGACTTCCCTACAGACACTATCCCCCAGCATCTAGCAGCCTGTAGACAGAAATGAATATCTCTTGAGAAAGTAAAAGGTATTAGCAAATTACAGGGACATTAACCAAGTTACAGAATTCACAATCCATTACATTTTTGCTTCCTCTTCTGAGTGCTGGGAGGTGTGTGGAGGCCTTGATAACAAATGTGAGGCTGTTTCAAAGAGATTACTCAGAATAAGAAAAAGGTTTCAGCAGCAGAATAATATATATCTACCTGCTACAAGAAGTGAGATGTCAGAAAGAGACACAGCAAATTATGACAAACTGAGATTCCTGAGATGAAATGAGTGATGAAATTAGTAAATTTCCTCATTAGCCTGCCTTCTTAGGAAGGATACATCTAAGTAAAAAATAAACTGCCAAGCTGTACTAATGTGAAAATGGGCATCCCTGTGGCAGGGATGCCTGTCACCTTATGGCAAAATTAGATGTATAAGCAATAAGTAGGGCAGGGGCAGATTAACAGAACAGGGAGAGAAACCAGCTCCAGATTTCCTTTTTTGATATAGTAAAAAATGATCAAATTGGAAGGCATATATTGCATATGGTAGCAGGTGAAAAATATATCATAATAAAAACAGACATGTACTGCAAAAGAGAAATCCATCCACAAATAATTAAGTTATCTAATCACTTTTTTTTTTTTTTTTTCATTTTTGGATCACACTTCTTTGCAGCATTTTGACCTTGCAAGGGAAAAAAAAAAAAAAGAAATTGGAGTAGAGTCCAAGAGAGAAGTTCACAGAATCACGGAATTGTCAGAGTTGGAAGGGACCTCTAGAGATCATCTAGTCCTACTCCCCTGCTCAAGCAGGATTGCCCAGAGCACATCACTCAG